GAACTAGAGGGTATTATGCTAAGTGAAATAGATCAATCAGAGAATGACAATTACCATATGGTTTCACTCATGTGGAGAATATAGGAAACAGCAGAGAGTATCATAGGGAATGAGGGAAAACTGAATGGGAAGAAATCAGAGACGGAGACAAACAGAGACTCTTAACTATAGGAAACAAATTGAGGGTTGCTGGAGGGGTGGTGGATGGGGGGTTGGGATAACTGGGTGGTGGGCATTAAGGGGGGCGCGTGATGTGATGGGTGTTACATGTAACTGATAAATTATTGAACACTACATCTTAAACTAATGATGTACTCTATGTTGGTTAACTGAAATAAAAAAAAACCCATTATCTGTTGCTGCATTCAAAGCATCGTAAAACAAAATGATTTAGTGTAATTTCTTTATTGTCAAAGAGGATTGTAGGGTAGGGAGTTATTCTGATCTCTGCAGGGCTCCTCTTGTGTCCTTTCTCAGGTGTGAATCTCTACATTGTGTTTCTAAGGATCCTCCAGGAATTGTGTGGCTGCACTGTTCTTCTGCCTTGAACCAATTTCTGTCTTTTTACTCCTTTTATATCTGTAGGCTAATCTTCTAGTTATGAGGGGAAAAATGAGTTTATCAAAAGTGAATTGTCTTTTTAAAAAGATTTTATTTATTTATTCATGAGAGACACACACACACACAGAGAGAGAGAGGCAGAGACACAGGCAGAGAGAGAAGCAGGCTCCATGCAGGGAGCCTGACAGGGTCACACCCTGGGCTGAAGCTGGCGCTAAACTGCTGAGCCATCGGGGCTGCCCTCTCCAAGTTATTCTAATATAATTAGGGCTTGGCTCTTTAGCTGAGGCTGACCCAGGGTGGCCTTGGTTTGGATAACTGGGCTCTGCTCCATGTTTCCTCACTTTCTCTGGCAGCCCACCTGGCTTAATTTACTTTTTGTAGGGAAAGTTCCAAGGCAGAACAGCAGAAATGCACCAAGTCTAAGGTCCACTGTCTCACCCATTATATTCCAGTGGTCACAGAAGATTTAAAAAATCCTATTTCAGCCAGGATCAAAGGTGGAAGAATAGTCCTGCTGGAAGGTGCTGCCCATATTGCCTTTCACATAGCTGCAGAGAAAGGAATGTGGGCCATCTCTGCAAACAGTCTACCACTGGTGTAAATTTCAATTTGAAAGGTGTCATTTTCACTTACACCCTCAGCAGTGGAATGATCTCTGAGAAGAGAGTGAGACTGAATTATGTGTCTACTGAGTAGTTATGGAAATTCTACTCCAAAAGGTCAGGCTTTCCTCCAAAGGTAAATATTTCCTCCCTGCCCCTTGCCTGTAGATCACTATTCCTAGCCTAAGAAAAGCTCAAAGAAATAAAAGGTTTTCTTTCCAGATGCCTCAGAGAGACCAGGGACCTCATATCTAACTCACTGATTGATGGAACTAAGAACTGTTGTAGACTGATGCCATCTCATGGCATCCTTATGTAGATACTGTTTTCCTACTGATTGACCTTCCAAGTGACATATTCATAATGGTTTTCATCCATTACTGTTTTATTTCTTTATGGAGATGGTTCTGCTGGAGGCAGGTAACATTTGGAATTCAAATAGAAGACAGAGACATAGGAATATTTTTTCTTCATTTTTTCCATTTTATTGAAATGTATTTGACATATAAAATTGTAAATGGTGATTTCATATAATATACTAGTGAAATGATCACCACAATAAATTACTGAATACATCCATCGCTTCACATAGTTACCATTTCTTTTGTTGTAAGAATATTTGCTATATGCTGTTGGAAACACTCAAATCTACAACACAATATAGTTAACCATATGACCATGTTGTACATTACCTTCCCAGCACTCATTCAGTTTATAACTGAAAGTTTGTAGGCTTTCATCAGCATCTTCTCATTTCCCTAAACCCCAGCCACAGACAAACCTCAACCTAGCTCTGTTTCTATGAGTACAGATTTTTGTATTTCACATATAAGTGAAATCATACAGTATTTGTCTTTGATTAATTCACTTAGTGTAATGCTCTCAGGGTTCATCCATATTTTAGCAAAGGAAAGGATGTCTTCCTTTTTTATATGTTGAATTCCATTGTATGAATATGGAATCTTATTAAATAATCTGACAAAGGACTAGGCTGTTTCCTTGTCTTGGCTGTTGTAAATAAAGCTGCAATGAATGTAAGGGTATAGATATCTGAGATATTCACAAATATGTGGGAATTTAACCATGTACTCATGAACAGCTGGGTGAAAGAGGAAACCAAAAAGGAAATTTAAAAATTTTCAATTTTTCAAATGAAAATGGGAACATAGCCTATCAAAACTTTGGGATGTTGCAAAAGCAGCTCTAAGAGGGAAGTTTATAGTAATAAATGACTCCATTATAAAAATAAAAGAGCTTAAGTAAATAACCGTACTTTATGATTTGCATACCTACAAAAAGAAGAATAAACTAATTCCTAAAGAGAAGAGGAAAAGAAATAACAAATAACAGCCCAAACATAAATGATATATAGACTAGAAAATCAATAGAAAAGGTCAAAAAAGCTAGAAACCAGTTTTTTGAAAAGCTAAGCAAAATTGACAAACATTTAGACCAAAGAAAAGAGGTGGCTAAAGATGCAAATAAATCAAATCAGTAGCAGGACACCTGGGTGGCTCAGTCAATTTAGCATCTGATTCTTGGTTTTAGCTCAGGTCATGATCTCAAAACCTTGCTTTGTGCTTCATGCTCAGTATGGAGTCAGCTTACCTCTCTTCCTCTGCACCTCCTCCCACTGTCTCTGCCTCTCTCTTTTTCTCAAATAAATAATTAAATAAATAACCCTCTCTCACAGGGTCTGAGTGTAACATATTGCCTCTTTAATTTAATTTTTAAAAATTCAATTTGCCAATATATAGTACATCATTAGTTTCAGATATAGTTTTTAATAATTCACCAATAAATAATATTTTTAAAAATTGTTAAAATAAATAAAAATAAAATCACAGAAAATATGTTACCTTAAGCCAATACCATAGAAAGACAAAGAATCATAGGAGACCTCTATGAACAATTTACCTCCAACAAATTGGACAACCTGGAGGACATGGATAAAGGCTTATAAACTTATAAGCCACCAGGACTAAATCAGGAAGAAATAGGAAATATGAACAAACCAATAATGAACAAGGCTATTAAATCAGTAATTAAAAAATCTACCACCAAAGAAAAGCCCAGGACCAGAGAGCTTCACAGGTGAACTCTACTAATCACTTAAGAAGAATTAATGACAATTCTTTTCAAACCCTTCCAGAAACTTACACAGGAGGGTACATTCTCAGCTTCATTTAACAAGGCCAGCATTACCCTGATACCAAAGCCAGAAAAAGTTAGTACAAAAATAGAAAACCATAAACCAGTATCTCTGATGAACCACAGACACAATTAAAAAAAAAATATTAGCAAACTGAATTAAAGAGCTCACTGAAGGGATTATATACCATGATCACATGGGATTTATCAGTCAGATCTAAGGATGGCTCAACATAAGCAGTTCAATAAATGTGATACACTCCATTGATACACTCTGCTGGGGATACCAGCAGAAACCAGATTTCTCCAACATGTGATTTTAAAAAAATTATCTTATATTCTTTACCTTTGGCATGGCTTGTTACACAGCAATAGCAGACTGATACAATAATCAATGTAAACAGAACTGAAAATATTAAGAATAATCCAATGATTCTCATTTTTATATTTCTTCTGATATTTGAAAGGAGTATGCATAATGGCCTGGCTGTTCATACTTATTTCAGATAACTGTACTAAAAAGTGACTACTATGGAGATTCCCTTCCAGATAACTGGTAGAGGTTGAAAAGGCCTCTGTGTTTTTGCAGGAATAACTTGTGGGAACCTCAGTCACACGTTTCCATATCCATAGCATTACTGGGTAGGAATTCCAGCTCTTGTCTGAGTCATCCTTTTATCATAGGATTGAAGAGAGTTTAGAACATAAAAAATGTAGATTAATGACAGAGTGAATACACTTATTGTTTACTCACACTATAGCATTTATGATAACATTTTCAAAAGGGGAGATTTTAGGCTTAAGGTAATGGAAGGAGTCATATTTTGTAGACAGGGCTTGAAATTTTCAAAGAAAAACAGCAAAATCATCCAATTAAAGGATACAAAATCTGCCATTAAATTCTTCACTCTAATTAATAAAATCCTTTAATGGACACCATATATTCCACACTTCAATGATTATACATTCATCACCAAAAACACATTTTCCACAATAAAATATCCTGTGATAGAAAATTTTACTTCATGCCTTTTTGGGTCTTCCTGATAGTGAATTCATGCTAAGTCAAATTGCTTGCAAATTTCTCTTTCTGTAGATTATACTTGGAAGGTGTTTTTTAAAAGCAGTTCTTGCCTTACTGTTCAGCGCCAGGGATACTGTGGATGCTGAACTGATAAGAGAATGGGATCCTAATAAGGACCATAAACCTCATGACTAGCTACAAACAAACTAGTGGATTAAAGTCTATATTATCAAGAAGAGCATTTAAGGTAGTAGTGTAGAAAGGAATGGCATATTCAGAATGATAAAGTGTGATCTCAAAATTTCCTCTACAATAAAATTATAGAAATGGTCTCAGTTGCCAAATGTACTTTATTTTATTAAACTAGGACAATTCATCAGTATATGAGGCAAATTTATATCTCCAATTCTTTCTGATTGAAGGTTGGTACTCACTTTGGAAATTAAGAAAACAAAAGGGAAATTGCTCATCACCAGAACCAGAAAGTTCAACAAAGGAACTTAATTATATCCAATAAAGCAGTTGAAATTTAGAAAAATTGAAACTCCAGGATATAAATAGAGGGATTAAGTTCTTTCATGATTTGATTACAGAATCACAATTTCTAGCTAGTAGGTATTAAGCCTGCAATCATAGACACTTGTTGAAAAATGGTTCTTTTATGGCTTCCCTCTGAAAAATACATTTAGAGCTTCCTTTATGTCTTTGTTCCTGAGGCTGTAGATGAAGGGGTTCAGCATGGGGGTGACCACTGTGTACATCACTGAAGCCACTGCACTTGTGTGGGTGCTCTGGAGAGCAGCAGAGCTAAGGTATGCTCCTAGGCTTGTACAATAAAATAAGGAGACAACCGAGAGGTGAGAAGCACAGGTGGAAAATGCTTTATACTTGCTGTGAGCTGATGAGATCCTACGTATAGAGGAAACTATCTTGAAGTAAGAGTAAAGGACTCCAACCAGGGGAGCAACCCCCAGCAATATAGCTGCAAAATACAACACCATATTATTAAGAAAGGTGTCAGAACAGGCAAGTTGGATCATCTGATTGAGTTCACAGAAAAAGTGGGGGATTTGGAAGTGTGTACAGAAGGACAGCCGCAACACCATTAAGGTTTGTAACAAAGAATGCAAGGCACTCGTGATCCAGGACACCAGTAGTAGTAGTGAACAGAGCTGAGGGTTCATGATGACCATGTAGTGCAGGGGGTAGCAGATGGCCATGTAGCGATCATAGGCCATCACAGTCAGGAGGAAATTGTCTATACCTGCAAAAAGTATGAAAAAGTACATCTGTATGATGCAGCTTTCATAAGTTATGACTTTTCTTTGTGTTTGTATATTTACCAGCATCTTTGGGATGGTGGTACAGGTGAAACAGATGTCTACAAAAGACAGATTGGCAAGGAAGAAGTACATGGGGGTGTGGAGGTGAGAGTCAGAGCTGACAGCCAGGATGAGGAGCAGATTCCCAAGTATGGTGACCAGGTACATGGACAGGAACAGCCCAAAGAGGAAGGGCTGTAATTTTGGTTCCTCTGAAAATCCCAGAAGGAGAAATTCTGGAATTCGTGTATCATTCTCTAGTTCCATGTAGTGGACAGGACTACCAAAATAAGAGAAAAACATGACACAATCATGCATTACTAACCTGGAAAATACATTATTGTTTATATTTTGCATCAAGAAGTTAATTTTTATGTTTGTTTATAGAACGTGATAAAAGCACTAAGTACCAGGAATAGAAGGAAACTGTCTCAACATAAAGCCATTTATGAAAAACCCACAGCAAGCATGATACTTAATAGAGAGGGTGAACATTTTTCTTGTACAACCAGGAACACAAAATGAATGCCTGATTTCACAACTTCTACTCAACATAACACTGGAAGTTCTAGCCAGAACAATTAAAGAAAGTAAAAGAAATAAAAGGCAACAAAACTGAAAAGGAAGAAATCAATTATGTGTGCAGACTGTGTGATATTATGAGTAGAAAATCCTAAAGATGCCACACAAACACTAATAGGACTAATAAGTTAATTCAGCCAAGTAACTGCATACAAAGGCAGCCATCAAATAATCAGTTGCATTTCTACATACAGTGAGTAATATGAATAGGAAATAAAATAATTACAGGTATGTGACATCCAAAACAATAAGACTATCACCTCACGCCAGTCAGAATGGCTAGTATAAATGACAAGAAGTAATAAGTGTTATTGAGGATATGGAGAAGGGGGAAACTTTGTGCATGGTTGGTAGAAATACAAACTGGTACATTTACTGTGGAAAAAGCATGGATGTTTCTCAAAAAAAAATTAAAAAAACAAATATCACATGATCAAGTAATTCTACTCCCCAAAGAAGACAAAAACACTAAATCGAAAATATATATGCACCCCACATTTATTGCAACATTATTTACAATAGCCAAGACATGGAAATAGCCCAATTGTCCATCAATAGATAAATGGATAAGATTTTTGTGTGTACATATATATACAATGCAATATTACTCAGTCATAAAAAAGAATGAGGTCTTGCCATTTGCAACAACATAGGTGGATCTAGAGGATGCTATAGTAAGTGAAATAGGTCAGCGAGAGACAAATACCATATAACATCACTTACATGTGGAACCTAAAAACAGAACAATTGAACAAACAAACAGAAAAATAGACACTTAAATTCAGAGAGCAAACTGATATTTACGAGAAGGGTATTTTTCAGGGTAGAGAAAGGGTATCAACAGGTACAAATGATATTTTGCCATTTGCAAAAACATGGGTGAATCTAGAGTGAAAGAAGTGACTCAGAGAAAGATAAATGCCATATGTATTTATTCATATATGGAATTTAAGAAAGAAAACAAATGAACAAAAAGAAAAAAGAAAAAAACAAAAACCCATACTCTTCAATATGGAGAATAAACTGATGGTTGCCAGGGGAGGTGGGTTGGGAGATGAGTGAAATTGGTGAAGGGGATTAAAAGTAGACTTATTCACAATGAACACTGAGTAATGTATACAATTGTCTAATCACTATATTGTAAGTCTGAAACTAATATAACACTGCATGTCAGTTATACAGAAATTAAAAATAAAATTTTAAAAATACAAAGAATCTGCCTAAAGTCCTTAAAATTACCAAAAACTCTCCCAAAAAAAAAAACAAATAAAATATACAGGCAAAATCATCCTAATTAAGGCAAGAAACTGAGAAGAAAGAAGTTACAAATTAATAGAATTTAAAACATTTTTAAAAATTTTTATTTATTCATGAGAGATGGAGAGGCAGAGACACAGGCAGAGGGAGAAGCAGGCTCCATGCAGGGAGCCTGATATGGGACTCGATCCCGGGTCTCTAGGATCAAACCCTAGGCTGAAGGCGGCGCTAAACCGCTGGGCCACCAGGGCTGCCCAATTTAAAACATATTTTTTATGGCCAAAATCTCTCCATAGAATTCAATAGAGAAACAAGGATCTGTAAAAATCCTTCGAAATGCTGATAGCTATAGAAAGGGGGCATAGAATATATGGGCATATGATAATAATGGGCAAATCAAAATGGTGACCAAATATACTAATTTTGCTCAAACTCACAAATCATTTATGAAAACAACAAAAAACCCCTTTCCACAGCCACCAGCCTGTCAAAAAACTTAAAAAGCTGTCATACCAATTGGGTTTGGAAATTTTAACCAGGCAGCAGAGTGGTACTCTTTAATTTTCATTGCAGAAATGTGATGTGCTATATAAAATTTGGGGAAAATAATCCAAAAACAGCTATAAATATTAAAAATATAGATATGCCTTATCTCAGAGTTTCTCAGTCTCAGCACTATTGACATTCTGGCCCAGATTAATCTCTGTGCTGGGGTTTGTCCTGGGCATTGTAGGATGTTTACAGCATCCCTGGCCTCTAGTGACACCTCCCCTATCTGACAGCCTAATATGTCTCTGGACATTGCTCAATGTCCTTGGAAGACAAAATAGCTCCTGGTGGAGAACCAGTATTTTAACTCAATCTCAAAATATTTTTGTATAATTGATATAACAGCAATTTGATGAGAAAGAACATGAAAAATTCTCAAAGGGGTAAATGACACAGCCACACTGAAATATTATGCAATCATTGAAATAATACATTAGCATTATATTAGATGATGGAGGCAAGTCTGTAAGGTATTGCTGAGGGAAATAAGCTATTAAAAATTGGATCAGAGCATAAAAAGCATGTATAATGTGCATAAGATTCTATTATGAATTTGTATAAAAGTAAATGAATGGTGCATAAGAATTTATTTATGAATTTGTATAATAGTGTGCCTGGTGGCTCAGTTGGTGAAGCATCTGCCTTTGGCTCAGGTGATGATCCAGGGGTCAGGGTTCTGGGATCCAGCCCAGTATCTGGCTCTCTGCTCAGTGGGGAGCCTGATTCTCCCTCTCCTTCTGCCCCTCCACTCCTCTTGTGCTCTCTCTCTCTCTCTCACTTTCTGTCTCTCTCTCTCTCAATAAATAAAATATTTTTTAAAAAAGAATGTATGACAATGGAATATTGCCATTAGAAACGACAAATACCCACTATTTGCTTCAACGTGGGTGGACCTGGAGGGTATTATGCTGAGTGAAGCAAGTCAATCAGAGAAGGACAAACATATGGTCTCATTCATTTGGGGAATATAAAAAATAGTGAAAGAGAATAAAGGGGAAAGGAGAGAAAATGAGTGGAAAATATCAGAGAGAGTGACAGAACATGAGAGACATCTAACTCTGGGAAACGAACAAGGGGTGGTGGAAAGGGAGGTGGGCGGGGGGTTGGGTCGACTGGGTTATAGGCACTGAGGGGGGCACTTGATGGATGCGCACTGGGTGTTATGCTATATGTTGGTAAATCAAACTCCAATTAAAAAATATATACAAAAAATTTTAAAAAAGAATGTATGAATATTTGTGTGTGCATAATATAGAAACATACCTTTTTTTTGAGAGAGAGAGAGAGAAAGAGCACAGAAGCTAGGTGGGGGAGTGACAGAAGGAGAGGCAGAGAGAGGAACGCAAGCAGGCTCTTCAATCAGCCCAGAGCCCAACTCAGGGCTCCATCTCATGACCCTGAGATCATGATCATGACCCTGAGCTGAAATCAAGAGTCAGATGCTCAATGAACTGAACCCCTCAGGTGCCCCAAGGAATGTTAAGTTTTAAAAGAAGCTAAGAGCCTATGGAACAAAGGAGAGCAGTAGGAGTGAGACTAAGCTTAAGTATGGAGCTATCTCAAAAACAGACTGAAACACAATGACAATCTCAAACCAAATTTATAGAGAGGCATAAAATAGTATTAATGTAATAACATCACATGGATCACTAATTCAAGATTAAAGTGCTAAAGACTTGGAAATGGGGACTGGCTGGCTCAGTTGGTAGAGCATGTGGCTCCTGTTTTTGGGCATGTGACTTTGAGCTCCACCCTGGATGTGCAGATTACTTTAAAAAAACATAAAATTTGGAAGTAAAAGAATATAACAAAAAAAGCGGGTAGGAAGCATTATCAAAAGTGATGCTTTCATGTCAAATAGAAATATATGAATTCATATTTGTTTAGAAAGAAAAGGTGAATGTTAGTCAAACAATAAAGAAGAATATCTTCCAAATGATGCCGGCAGGTGACATGACTTTGAGAAATAGATGGAATCATGAGAGGCCAAAAGGTTTAATAAGAAATAACAGAAATCTGAAGACAGATTGGAAGTATGTATAAAAGGTGATACTTTATACATTAATCCAAATGATGCAGAACTTCCTACACTTAAGCAAAAGAGAGAAGGAAAATATGACCAAATGATAAATTTGAGCACGCAAAATATATTAACTTTCCTACTACCCTGTGATACATCTACATGTACATAAAGGAACTGAACATCAAACGGCAAAGTTGGTGGAAAACTCCAATTCTTATGTTTGAAAAAAATGCAATCAACAACAGGAATTTAAACACTCCAACCCCACCAAACAAAAACACACAACTGGTGCAATTTGCAACAGAGAAAGAAAACATCTAAGAAATCTACAAATATTCTAATGCTTACTAATAAAGAAATAATCACAATGCAAGACTTTTATAGTCTACCTCTTTTTACCTGTTATGTATTTTTTTAAAAAATTGATTGGAATACCCAGCATGAAGAATGACACTGTGAATGTATGTCTCATGATCGATTGATCTGGATCTTTCTCATCAATATGGGAACATACTTGAATTTTCCCTGGCTTAAAAGAATAAAAGGAATGCCCTCCCTTGACTGCATATCCCTTGTAGCTATACTATAAATCTCTATTCCCCTTCATTGCAAATATTCTTGGACTAGTGTCGTACTTTTATTGGGACCACTTTGTGCCACCTATCACCGCTTTCCCTTCAGCATAGTTAATCCTCAACAATCTCCCCTGCGTGGTTGATTTCAATGTTTACTATTCTTTTGGGGATCATAAATATATTATTTACTCGAGCAAGCCAACAACTGCAGTGATGTCCTGGTGCTGGGCTAGGCTGGACTGATTCTTAGGTGGCTTCAGATAAACATTCTCACCCTTCTA